AAGGTACAAGATTTTATAACACAAAATACAAAAAAATCTCAACACAAAACACATAGCATAACATAATGGACTCAATTGGATTTAAAAGCCGAGGTACATAATTCATACTCGTAAGGTACAGAATTTCATAACACATGACACATACGTACACATGTTGTATATTTACTTATTTTTCAAATCTGATTTACATACATAATTTGTGTTCATAGACACAAAACTTCACAATACAAGACACAATTTATTCCAACAACAGAATTTATTTTTTAAGATACAGAATTTTATAACGCAAAATACAAAAAGTCACAATACAAAATACATACACGTAACTCAAAATTAACAGTACCGTATAAACCCTGATCCATGCTATAATGCTCGCCAAACCTCCGCAATATTATTATTATTTTTGAACACCAAACAACAATTCATATATTAGCATCCAAAATGGAAGGGTAAGAAAGTAACTCCCTACCATCAGCTTAGAACACGGCTTCCAGGTAATTATTATGAGTTAATTTCAGTATTGGTCATACGACTATTGGAGTCTTGTTAATTTCAGTCCATGAGTTTCAAAACTATCAATTTAGTATCTTAATTATAATTTTTTTCAATTTTGGTCCATTCAACTCAATTTCCTGAGAAAAATAATTGAAATGGCAAATTTACACTCAAAATTTTAAAATAATAACTTAAAATAATTTTTTTTTTCGATACTATCGTCGGCAACCATTTCTCCGGATAGCAGCGGAAAAAATGAAAAAAATTACATAATTAAAGTACTAAATTGATAGTTTTAAAATTCATAGATTGAAATTAACAAGACCCTAATAATCGTATGACTAAAACTGAAATTAACTCTAATTATTATCTACTATAAATGGAATGGAAATGTGTCAATTTGAAAAGTTAAAAAGATTCTATAAAAATCTTGATTAGACACACCTATCCTGAAAGTGAGCCGCGGTTGCCGACGGGAGACGTGACAGGTGAAGAGAGAGTGAGAGTGAGAGTGAAGTGCATGGCTTTGAGCAATCCAGCCTACAACTGACAGAGTTTTGTGGTCTGAAATTCCAAGTCCGAGGAACAGTCTAAAGAAGGAAATGACGAAGAATGAAGGGGAAGTTGTCTGCGTCACCGGCGGCAGCGGCGGTATTGGCTCCTGGCTAGTCCTCCTCCTCCTCCAGCGTGGCTACACCGTCCACGCCACCGTCAAAAATCTCAGTTAATTTCTCTCTCTCTCTCTCTCTCTCTCTCTCTCTCTCTCTCTAGTCTTTTTGGATTTAACTGTATTTTTTGTCTCTAATTTCTGAATTCTGAATCTACTTTGCGATTTCCGAACACGAAGAGGATGAGAAAGAGACGAAGCATTTAGAAGCAATGGAGGGAGCCGAGTCGCGTCTCCGTCTCTTCCAAATCGATCTCCTTGACTACAATTCCCTTGTGGCGGCCATTACCGGCGCTACCGGCGTATTCCACCTTGCTTCCCCCTGCACTGTCGATGAAGTTCGCGATCCTGAGGTGGACTCTGCCTTCTTATTTCTAAAATGAGAGTACTAGTGAGTAATAGTTTCTTAAGCCACTAACTGCGCACTTTATAATTGTCTACTCGCCGTTTGATTGACAGAAAGAGCTACTGGACCCGGCCATTAAAGGCACAATCAATGTACTGACTGCGGCGAAGGAGCTCGGAGTTCGGCGAGTGGTGCTAACGTCTTCAGTTTCGGCTATTACTCCGAGCCCCAATTGGCCGGCTGATGTTGTGAAGAATGAGGAATGTTGGACGGATATTGAATACTGCAAACAAAAAGGGGTAAACTCCTCTACCTTGAGCTGTTGCTTTATAAGCTTTTGAGAAAGCTTTGTTGATAGCAATTTGTTCCTTTTTTTGACAAACATTTGGAGCATCACCAATCCCCTTTAGTTTTTTTGGTTTGAGTGAGGGAGAAAACAGCTTAGGTTGTAAGACCGGCTCAAACCAAGAAGGTCAATAGGTCACTGTTCTCTTGAGAGTTGAAGGTTATCAAGTAAATAGCTGGGCTGCTCCAATACCCTTTAGTTAGAGATTATGTCAATTTCGCATTCATAAGAGTTAAGATATCTACCAGACTGCTAATGAAAAGACATTTAAAAAAATTATTAATTCACAGTGTTAATGACTTCAACAAGTTTCATGCTAATATAAATGTTATCATTTTTTATTTTTCTTTTGTCCTACTGCAAGAATGCCCTCTTTTTATCATGGGCATTCATCCACTGCATCACACTAATCTGAACCTTGCATTGTGCTAGAGATGGTATCCACTTTCAAAAACACTTGCAGAAAAGGCTGCTTGGGAATTTGCCAAGGAAAAGGATTTGGATGTTGTTGTTGTGAATCCTGGAACTGTGATGGGTCCTATTATACCTCCAACTCCTAATGCAAGCATGGTAATGCTTCTTCGTCTGCTTCAAGGTACACGTCAGTTGCTGAAAATTCATTGAACTATATATGCCTTTTTACCTGCCATCATTGAAGTCAGTACTAAGTTTATGCCAAATGTACCCTGATACCCAAACTAATGGGGTCATCCATGTGGATTATTCTCTTTATTAAGTGCTGAGGAGCATTATCACTTTTTTTGACAATTGTGTGTGTGTTTCTTTTTTTCTCTCTCTCACTTTGTTCTCGTCAGATGTCACTTCTGTCTTGCTTCTAGTGAGGTTATCAGGAAACTACTCCTTGAACTCCCAAATTCTACTCTAAACTTTTACTTCCTCACTTAAATTTTTGATGTAAACATTTTTATTGAGACCCATAGGATGAAAATAACTTATCAATGCTTGCCACGTCAGAGATTAAAAGTGAGAGAGTAGAAATTGGGAGTCCATGTAGTAAAACTCATTTCTAATATGATACTTTCTTGTATCCCTACAAATTCTTTTTATCTCATATACAACCATCTTATGGAGGTTTTATTCTTCACCACCCACCACTTGCTACCTTATAAAACACAACAATAGAAATTTGTTCTCCTTCTAATATAGTAATATACTAGATTAATCTCAATAGATTGCATTTCTGCACACACACACACTCTCTCAGTCTCTCTATGCTGAGGCATGGGATAGGATCCATAACTTCACTTAAGCCTACAGGTTAAATCATTAAGGCTGAGTTTACTTCAACTCTCCAGTTTTTCATTCTCCATTCTCTGTTTTCTATTTCCCAAATGTATACGTGTATTCTCTTTTTCCTTTATCCTGAAAAATGAGAATTTCTCCAATTAGTAAGTGTACCCTAGACTTTTCATTCTTCTGTAGAAAAGTTGTGATGGTTGTTGGCTTGTTGCCATGTCTACAATTTATTTCATACTCTAGTTACAAGCAATCATTTCCTTAAAAATTGCAACTGCCTTTTTGTGCATAAATATGAACCTAGATGAGGTTGTTCAAGGTTATTATTATGGCTTGGATACTTGTTCAATCCGAAGCTTATTTGTTTATTGGATATATTTGCAACATTTCATTATGGGGTCTTTCTGAAGTTGCATTGTCATTTTGTTTGCATTCAGGCTGCACTGAAACTTATGAAGATTTCTTTATGGGATCTGTCCATGTCAAAGATGTGGCCTTAGCACATATACTTGTTTATGAGAACACTTCAGCGAAAGGAAGGCACTTGTGTGTTGAAGCAATATCTCATTATGGTGACTTTGCAGCTAAAGTTGCCGAACTTTACCCTGAATACAATATTCCCAGGTAATATCATCATATATTTCTAAACTGTTACAACTTTTCTTAGAATCTGAAAACCATTCCAAGTCCAGGCCATAAAATAGTGTAACATACAGCTTCATGGGCCAAAATGTCAGCAGGCGGGATACGTTTTAATCACCTGTGGGTTAAATTTGTTGGTCCTTGGTCATAAATAAAGCTGAAAAGCAAAACCCTGCTTATATTCTTTCTGCTTTCTTCTTTTCTGAATAAAGTGGGTACTCTCCAGCTTCACATTTTACAAAGACTTCTGCCTCTGCTAGGTATTTGTTCTCCTTGGGAAAATCATATTGAATATTCAAATGAACTAACAAGGCTTGATAAACATTCCTCATTTGCTTTTAGATGTTCATTGAGTCCCATGAAAATCATGGAAGTTGTCGGTGGTTAACCATATAATTTATGTCTTACTAGTCATAAACTATTATGGGATTTTCATTTGAAATGAAATTATGGACAGTATTATTCATGCCGGTTGCATGCTCTTGTAGGCTTCCCAAGGATACTCAGCCTGGTCTGTTGAGGGCTAAGGATGGAGGAAAGAAGCTGATGGATTTGGGTCTACAGTTCATCCCCATGGAGCAAATTATCAGGGACTCGGTTGAGAGTTTGAAGAGCAGAGGATATATATCTTGATTCTTGAATCATACTACCTGTCTACTGTATCAAAGTTGAATTGACAAACCTCTAGTAAGCGGCGTTGGAATGTTGATTGTGAGTCTATAAACAAATGTAATCTGACTTTAACTATGTAATATCCTGAATAGAAGCTTTGCTTCACCTTCATGCTTTCTTTTTTAGTAATGTTAAAGATCTGCTCGTTTTATTTGCCTTAGCCTCTTGAGCATATGCAATTTTAAAATGTTGAAGCTTCACATTCAGTATTTGTTTGGCCATTAATATCCACTTATAATAGCCTTGCTTTGCTGACAGCTGCGGATGCATGGTTCAATTTCTACCGAGAAAGGTATGAAATTGGCCTTATTGTGAGTAGGTACAAGTATTTTTGGGGACTGCTGTTTGGATTTACCTCCTCTACTTAGACTTCAGGGCATGGGTGAGGGGATATTCGGGATTGGGGTGCAGTTTTTTTTTTTTTTTTAAATGTGAAATTAGTCTCCATTGGCCACATAGAGACACAATTCCATCTATTGGCTGATATCACTTTCATCAGCTCTGAAGGGAAATCATTTGCCTCTTGCAGAAATATCTCATTCTTTTTTTGTCCCTTGTGGAATGGTATTTTGCAGTTTGTGGCTTTCCCCTTGCTTTATCATCCTACAAACTAGACATATTAAGATAAGAATCAGAGTGGTGGACCATATCCTGGAAAACAAAATTGAAGCCTTCTCCAAGATTCTTCATGGCTGCTCCAAAAAAATTGCATCTTCAACTAATCCTTCTTCTCAGCATCTGTTCTGTGTTATCTTGGAAGCCATGGCTGAGCTCTGCAAGTTCTGGGACTGTCTCCACTGAAGAAAAGGTCAAGCTAGAGCTCTACTATGAGACCCTGTGCCCATACTGCTCCAGATTCATAGCCAAATATTTGCCACAGCTCTTCGATACTGGACTCATATCCATCACAGACCTCAGCTTCATCCCTTATGGCAACGCCAAAATCGGCCCCAACGCCACCATAACCTGTCAGGTCTCTTAGCTTTTTCCCTCTCAATTTCAATCATTCAATCTCCTCGTTTATCATATTTCTATTCTGGTTTACGTAGATTAGGAATGCCTAGCAGAGAATGATGGAATCATTTCTTTGATTAGTAGCACTTGGTTAACTTTCTTGTTACAGAAAATGATGGAACCATTTCTTTGATCACTGCAGCATGGTGAATATGAATGCCTGTTGAACACTGTTGAGGCTTGTGCAATCGACGCCTGGCCAGATTTGGTGAGGGAATCTTTCCAGACATTTATATTATGTTTGCACTGCTTTGCTTCATTCTTTATAAACTATGCAGAGCGAGCACTTCCCCTTTATATATTGCGTCGAAAATCTGGTCTACGAGGGGAAGTATACAGCGTGGGAAACATGTTTCGCGAATCTGGGCATGGATCCAACCCCTGTCACTGATTGCTCTGCCAGTGGGCGCGGCAAAGAGGTTAGCTTTCTTGACAGATTGAATGCTCATTCATTCTTATCTGCAGTTTCTGCACCAGCAAAACATCATTTGATGTGGACAATAATGTAGTTTTCTGCTACACTCATAGGATTCATTTCTGTAGCATGTATAAAGTTTCTGATTAGTATGTTTGCTGTTAATGCCCAGCTTGAGTTGCAGTATGCAGCAGTGACAAATGCCCTTGAACCTCCTCATACATATGTGCCATGGGTAGTCGTGGATGGGCAACCGCTATATGAGGTAAAACACTTATAGTCGTTCAATTATGAAAAAATATCTTAAAAGAAAATTTACTTTAGAACATTCATCTAGCTAAGATAGTCCGAAAATTTCGTTTCTGTGTTCCATAGCTGATCAAATCAAAACATGTGTAAAGGGGCAATCACAGTTAAGTTGGTCAGGCTGTTGACTTAATAACCATAAGGTTACAATTGACGTATTGACCTTCTTGGTTTGAGCTAGTCAGCTATGGCAACCTAAGTTGCCTTGTGCACGCTTTCGTGTAGTGAGTGCCTGTTTTCCTCGTCACACAAAACATGTGTAAAATCTGCAGGACTATATGAACTTCATAAGCTATATCTGTAAAGCATACAAAGGAAGTACCAAAATCCCTGCTTGCAGTGAATTGTCTGCCACTGTCAGCCATTTGGGGATATTAAGGTTGTTGAATCCATTCTGGTAGTTATGCAGAAAAGACAACTGGTTCATGTATGAGCCCAGCTGGATACCAGGCTGCAATGTAAGCATTCACTCTCGTCTTTAAGCTTTACATACTTTCTGTTCCTCGATGTAAAACAACTATATATACATAAGTCAAATAGTGCCATTGAATTACCACACTAGGTACAAAACCATATCTTGTACTTTGTAGTGTTGCTTTTCTTTCGAGGCTTATACTCCATTTACAAGGTTTCAACATGAAATCTTGATTTCACAGACCCATTGGTAAAAAACACAACTTTTTCTATTCTCGGGAGAAAAAGTTGACAAGAAAATTATATAAAATGTGACAATGCTACATCGATGCAATATGCCAAAGTAACAATATTCCAGGTGGCGAGAGACAAAAAAAAAATGAAGACGAAGTTTCAAAATTTCAAAGTTTATCGTGACATTCCCCTCACATCTTCAATATTTCACCATTCTTTACCTTCTCAATTATATCGTAGACCACGGTCCACATTACAAGGTAGACCATTAACATAAAAGTTCATTTTTATTATATTGAAAGTTTGTTTTTATTATATTCTTTTTCAGTGTACTACCTATAGTTGAATATACAATACATTAAAAATGAATATTTATTATACTAAAAATGAATATTTATTATGCTAAAAATGAACTTATATTGGTGATCTATCTTATAATGTGGACCATAATCTATGGACACGAGTCCAAAACGACGTCGTTTTTAGGAAAAAACGCGTCATTTCAGTTTTTTAAAAAAATTTTGATTTTGTCTCGCGTTAACGCCGTTAACGGCGTTATTCGTTTGTGCCATTATGAATGTACAGTTATGGGATTATGAATGTACAGTTATGGAATTATGAATGTAAGTTATAAAATTATGAACACAGAGCTATGAGATTATGAACTTACAATTATGAACATATAGTGATAAAATTATGAACATAGAGTTCTAAAATTGTGAACATCGAGTTTTGAAAATTATGATTTTACAGTTATTGCATTATGAATGTACAGTTACGGAATTATGAATGTATAGTTATGCAATTATGAATGTACAGTTATGAAATTATGAACACAAAACTCTGACATTATGAACTTACAATATGAACATATAGTGATAAAATTATGAACATAGAACTCTAAAATTGTGAACATAGAGCTTCGAAAATTATGAAGTTACAGTTATTGAATTATGAATGTACAGTTACGGAATTATGAATGTACAGTTATGGAAGTATGAATGTACAGTTATGGAATTATGAACATATATCTCTGACATTATGAACTTACAATTATGAACATATAGTAATAAAATTATAAACACATACTCCTATAACGAAGCGGTCTGAAATTTTTTTTTTTAAAAAAAAAAAAAAAAAAAAAAGAAGAAGAAGAAAAAGAAGAAGAAAAAGAAAAAGAAGAAGAAGAAGAAAATAACCATGTCCAGCATGCATGCTGGACACGTGTCCGTAGCATAACGATTGTGTCGTCACCAAGTAGAGTATCATCTTCATATTGCGTCTAATTTCATCCACAAGCCCAAAAAAAAAAACCCAAAACCACGTCTTTAGTCTTTAGCAAAAGAGACTATACATACTTTCAAATTTTACTCCCTAATGTAGCAAACAAGGATTGGTTATTTTTATTTTCATTATGTGAGTTCATAGAAAAATGTCTACATCAAAAATTTGTGAGAGGAAATAAAAATTGAGAGTATAAAATGAGAGTGCACCAAGTATTTTCCAAATCATTTTGTATGGACCATGATCTACACAACTATGTTGATCATACTATCAAATAATATACACTCAGTACACAAATAATATGCTTTTAGTATATTAAAAATGTATATTATATTCAAAAAAAGAATATTATTTGAGTACTAAAATTATATTATTTTATATAATGTAAATTTAATACATAAACAATATACTTTTAACATATTAAACATATATTTTTTATTATGATCCATATTGCACTGAATCATAATTTGCCGTATTTTCCTTGCCAAAATCTTTTGGCATTACTTATCATGACACTCGAGTGGGCCCTAAGGGATGGGCTTGAATTTCTTAAGTAGGCCATTCCCTGCCCCTGTTTGAGCCCACCATTTAGATTCTTTATTGACTAAGCACATCGTCTTCATTTACTTTTCTTCTCTTTTCATAAGAACCAATTACTCAAGTGGAGAACTTACGTAAGGTTTGGTTCTAAAATACATTGAAAATGGAATATCATTCATAAAATATATCTATTTTATTGTTTAGTTTGAATTTTATAACAAGGAATATAATTTTACAGAATGAGCTATTCCCTCTGCAATGAAAATAATTATTCCTCCACCCAAATGCTCTGTCGGGTCGGGGTATGGGGGGGTCCTTAGGGTTGGGGTTCAACCTTTTGGAAGAATGAAAATAATCAATCCCAAGGTCAATGGTATTAACTATTCCTAATCAGTTAGGAATAATTATTTTTTGTTAATATATATAAAAAAAAAAACTCTTATAAAACCTTCATATAAATACATAAATTTCTTTTATTCTTATTCTTGAACCAAACACAATGTTAGCATGATAAATAAAATACAAAATGACCCACAAGGTATGGATGATAATAAAGTCTATTTCTCTTTGATTGTGCCTTGTAAATGCAATTAACTTAAGCCAACACACTCCTATAATATCAATTACAAGTATGGGACGAGAGCCCTAAGGCAAAATTATTATGTGGACCCGGGTCCAAAGATATATAATTTACCTTTTAAAATTTTACAATTTGTGATCATTCTATATTGTATTTACAAATTTTTAAAATTTAGAAATATAATTTATTATTCTAAAAATTCACAATTTCAATACTAAAAATATACAATTTACAATGTGAACTTTGATCTATGGCAAGGTAGACCCTGTTCAATAGTATAACTTCTTCCTACATCAGTTCATCAAACACATGCAACTTTATTCTAGGTGCCCCATCATAAAAATAAGAGTAAATACCCAAAATGGTCCCTCGACTATAGCTAAATTCACAAATTGGTCCTCGACTTTCAATTTCAACCAATTAAGTCCTTAACTTTGCAATTTTGACACGATTTGGTCCTCCATCTATTTGATCGTTTGTTGACCGCGATCTTTGAGGATATATATGTAGTTTCACGTGCAAAGCTCAAGAGAACGATCTTGGAGGTGACATCGTTGTTTCGAAGGGGGAAGTGCTTCTCCGCTTGCTGCTTGGGGATCACGAGCCGGTTCAGCTTAGAGAACGCTCTTGGAGGTGACAGCGCCGTTTTGGAGGGGGAAGTGCTTCTCCGCTTGCTGCTTGGGGTTCCTGAGCCGGTTTAGCTTGCCTACATCGCTTGGAGTCACGGCTTTCTCGAAGAGCCACTCCAGGGACTTCGGCGATCTATCTATCAAAAGCTATAACCTCTCCGGCATGGGATGCAGCGCTGATAGTGGATTCAAATGTAACAGTGCGGTCTAGAAATGCAACCAGAACCTTAAAAAACCGACAATGGACCATGAAATTACATATATATATATATATATATCCTAAAAAGTGCAGTCAACAAACGGTCAAATAGACAAAGGACCAAATTGTGTTAAAATTGAAAAGTTAAGGACTTAATTGGTTGAAATTAAAAGTCGAGGACCAATTTATGAATTTAGCTATAGTCGAGGGACCATTTTGGGTATTTACTCTAAAAATAAGATGCTTAGAAATTGGAGATAACCTTAGCCAATTAAGTTGATTAGACCGTTAGTTTGCTAACCATAAAGTTTCAAGTTTGACTCCTTATACATGTGAACTGTTTATTGACCTTCTTGTTTTGAGCTGATTAACTATGGACAACTTAAGCTGGTTAATTTATCTCACAAGGCCGCTATTCACATATTCCGATGTCATCAAGCTAAAAAAATTTAGTTGTAAATGAAATGAAACTTTTTCATTCTCTTTGAAATCACTTAGGGTATGTTTGGTTGAGGAAGGGATATTAAAGTCATTGTTATTATTTGGTTGACAGGTTTTGAGAACACTACTATGAATTTTGATTACCCACTTAATTGAAAAATCCATACATAATCAAACAACAATATTGATAATCATTCTCATTCCACCCTACTACTAAACATGCAAAATACTTTCATCAAAACTCATTACCATTACCAAGTATTTGATACACATTCCTATTCTGATTCCCACGTGCGAACCAAACACACCCTTAATAAATGTGTTTGGTTTGCACATGGGAATCAGAATCAGAATGGGTATCAAATACTTAGTAATGGTAATGAGTTTTAGTGAAAGCATTTTGCATGTTTGGTAATATGGTGGAATGAGAATGATTATCAATAATGCTGTTTGGTTATGTATGATCCAATAATGGGAATAAAGATTTTAAAAATACAAGAACACAAAATCAATACAATTAATTATAATATAAAGACATCCAAAACACCAAATAATATGAACAAAAAAATAAAAACAAAAATCTAAAATCACTAATCAAATTAAAGGGAATGAAAATGGATAATACCCTTATTTTATTTGGATATGAGTTTTTCAATTAGGAATAAGGTTCAAATGTAACCTGAAAATGCAATTAGGCCAGTGAACGAAAAAAGTGCAATTAGGCCACTGAACACTCCAAATGTATGCAATTTCACCTAATAGCAGGTTACCATCAATTTTGACAGGTTACCTGCTTATGTGGCAGCTGAGTTGGCATTTTTAATAAATTTTAATAATAAATTTTTAATTTTTTTTTTAAATGACGAGGTGGCCACCCCCACCTCTCTTCTTTCGTCTCTGGCAGAGACGAAGGAGGGGGGAAGGGGGTGGCCGCCATCGTTTTATTTTTTATTTTTTTTATTTAATTTTTTTTTCATTTTTTTAATTTATTATTAAAAATTATTAAAAATGCCAACTCAGTTGCCACGTAAGCAGGTAACCTGCTAAAATTAACGGTAACTTGCTATCCGGTGAAATTGCATACATTTGAAGTGCTCAGTGGCCTAATTGCATGTTTTTGGAGTGTCCAGTGACCTAATTGCATTTTTTTTTCGTTCAATGACCTAATTGCATTTTCAGGTTACATTCAGTGACCAATTTGAACCTTATTCCTTTCAATTAAGATGGTATTTGAAACCCATAATAGTGTTCTAAAAACTTATCAACCAAACAATACAAATCACTTTGATACTCATTCCTTAGAGCTAAACCTGTCAACCAAATACACCCTTAATATGATCAAAATACTACTTATTTTTAATTTCTTTCATTTCAAAAAAGACGTGTTGAAATAGAAGACTCAAAAAGAATTTCGCTACATGTGCTCACACAACATCAGGCAGGGATGGAGGATTTGTTGTGATTGATGGGTATAGAATATAGCTTATCCTAACATGAGAAATGATAATATAAAGCTACAACCACATCACATTACGAATGCTAAGCTGCCTCCAACATAAAGGTCAATACATTGGAAGCTAAGGTTGGCCACTGGTCCTTTTCACACGTTGTTGTACTATGTATGTATATATATACAATTTTATTTATTTTGCCTTTTTTCCTTTGGCTCTCTCCTATGCTGTTTAGCCTCAACATGATATATACATCATCTTGAACCAGACAGGAAGTAGTATATATGTTGTATGCTTTGGTCTTTTACTCACTTGCTCCTATGGTACAAGGAAAAAAATTCTATGTGATTGTGTGCAATAATGATGTTGGGATATGTTTTAATTTATATTTGATAATGTTGTATTTTCTCATTATATTTATAAATACATGATGCAATTTCATTATAAATAGAGGTATTTCGTTTGATGTCATTGTAAAATTTATAGAAAGAGAACATAACATTATTGTTTGTTTAATACTCCATATTTAATTAATTTAAGGTTATTGTTGGACAGAGGTCTACTATGTCAAGTTCACTATCCTGCTTATTCGAAATGGGGTGATGGGGGTTATAGGGGAGCTAACTAGACAACCTAAGTATCATGGGCTAGCTCTCGCTTCCTAGTCATAGAGCTAGGTTGGAAAACTATGCAAGAAAATCAGACACTATAAATTAAAGGGGTTACATCCGTAGCCACTCCACCAACCATCACATCAACGACTACCACATAGCACGACTAACTTGAGCATCCAGTCGCGAGGTGCCACGTTTGCGTCAGTGACTCTTCAACGTGCTACTTTTTACCTCTCTAGTATATATAGGGTGCTTTAAATCTATATATTAGGGTTTCCAATTCTGTTTGACTTTACATGGTACCAACCAGCCATGGTGAACCAGGCAACCAGCTAGAGAGCATTATGAATTTCCAATTACAACTACGACTATAACTATTATAGCTTCTTGTACCAAAGTTATTGACTACTTTCCGGTGTGATAATACATCGATCTCCTACTTAGTTCAATTTGTTCACTCAAAAACTACTACGTAAGATATTTTAACACTACATATACCCATATATACTATATTACATTATTATTATGTGACTATATTTTTAATTTTGAGTAATGATAAACATCTGATCTCACACTTATTTTTTATTTATTGGAATCCATCTAGAAGTATGATGAGATGATTGATGATTGGAAAGAGAATAGGGAAATGCATATTGGCTAAACAAAAACAAAAATGTAGACAATGAAAGAGTGTAGGGAGGGAATTGAAGAGAATTGGTGGATTACCATACAAAAAGAAACAAATTGACAATGAAAGCTGCATATATAGGTAGCCCTCAGAATTCCCCACATCTGCATCTATATATCCATACAAAATTATTCACGGGATTTATACACAATTGTATACCACATACATTATATATAAAAAAAAATATTTTTTCACTCATTAATAATTATAAATTATTTTATTGATATAATTAAATTATTATTATTCTTATTATTAGATTTTTTATTTAGTTATACCAGGTAACTCTTCCAAATAAGAAGTTATGGGTAATTACTGAATTTTGGACTCATAATTTACAATTTTGGAGAAATATATTAATTTCCGAAAAAATAAGAATATTTACAAGGCCGTACTATACTGTTGAAGTGGCTGGAGGTGGCTGACCGACAGTAGCGGCGCCACCACCAGTGTCATCACCGTCGCCTCTGCCTCCGCCGCCGCCATTACGTCGATTATTTCCGCTGCCACCCTCGGTGGCGGTGGCGGCTGTTGACCTTTTTCGCTTCTTCTCGTAAGGGACTCCTCGGGCCTTAGCTTGGGTATCTTTGACCTCTCTCAAATATATCCTCACGGCTCTAGCGGCGAAGGGGTTGGACTCGGGGCGGCCGCCGTTCTCTTCGTAGGCGGCGCGGAGGCGGCCGATGAGCGCGTCGAGGCTGCCCCAGGCCTGCTTCAACGGGCAGGCGCAGGGCGCCGGCGGGTTGGGGTGGCCGAAGTGCGGGCACCCCGTCACGTGCACCTTCGTCTTCCCGAACTGATCCAGGTACTTGAGGAACTCGATCACGTGCGCGCCGCTGCACCGCGGCAGCGTCAACGGCGGCTTGTGGTTTCTCAGGTACTGCAAAAATGTAGTCCAGTCTCGCCGCTTCTGCGACTCGTATCGGCTCGGCGCCGCCGCAGCCGCCGCCGTTGACCCTTCTCCCCCTCCCTCTCCCGTCCCACTCCCACTCGCCGACGGCTGATCCTCCCCTCCTCCTCCGCCGCCTTCACCGCCAGTCTCTGAAACTACTGATGCGGATCCAGCCTCCATAGCTGCGCTTTCTTGGAACGAATCAATAACACAATACAGTTCTATCTATGAATCCTGTATTATATTACTGAGATTTTGAATGAATGCAATGAATTCAAGGAAAAGGTATGTAGGCGGAGAGTATAGAGTGGAGGGGGGGTTTAAGCTTCTTTTTTGGGAGAGAAGGAGAGCGTTTTCGGGGTTGAAAAGACGGAGGATTTGACGTTAAAAAGAACATTTATGTGAGTGAATAAGCTAGCGGATGAGAAAACGAGAGCGAGACAGCTCGTGACTGATGAGGGGGGAAGAATCGCAGCTATAGATTTTTCTTGTTGAATTGCCACCACCATCACTATTCCCCTCTTTCCCAATATATACCCCGTATCTCTATCATTGCAAGACTAATTAATCTAATTGTTACATATATTTAGAACGTTTTAAAGTGACTTTCGATAGTGTAAATTAAAGTAGTACAATAACCCCAATACCGATTACATGTTTTGTGTCAAATGTAATAGATAATTGATATTGAGAAGAGTAATGGAAATAGATAAAGTTCTTGGTAGTTCAGGATTAGCCATCAAATCACCTCGAGCCATTAGATTGGTCGGATCTTAATGAGGTGGAGATAATAATCCTAACATGCAATATCACATACAAGAGTCCATAATGAGTTTATCATTTGACATTACAGTTGAATTATAATCTTTTTACTTGTGTATAAGTTATTAGGTTAATTATAATCTATTACCGAATATCATCCTTTCTCTCCTAACACTAGTACCTCTATTATATTATTGGGAGACTAAATCAAATGATTGTTGCATTCAAAAACTTTTTAACATGGCGTCAGTTAGTGTAAATTGAAACATGTAACTCCAATATCGATTGCATGTTTTGTGTCAAATGTAATTGATGATTGATATATTGAGCAAAGTAATGGAACTAGATGAAGTTCTTGGTAGTTCGGGACTAGCCAGCAAATCGCTTGGGTTATTGGATTGATCATGCCTTGATAAGGTGGAGGTAATAATCCCAACAATGCCACTTACAAATCATTTGACATTGCAGCTGCATTAACGATCCGTTTACTATTGTCTAAGTTGTTAGGTTAATCATTATCTATATATTGATCATCTCGTTCATAATATAATATTTAATCACTAACTCATGAAACACTTATATCTCTATTATTGTGAGAGTAGTTCGAATTCAACTGTTTTATGTTTATATATGTAATTTATTGAATTGTATGTTCCGTTAGGGTGAATTGCATAGTATGTGAAATGGAAATGCGGTAACAATAAGCTAAAGTGGTAAACGTTACCTAAAGAGTGAAGACTTACCAAAAAGAGAATGAAGGTAGGTTGAAGTTAATGAACTTGGTCTAGATATAGTTAGAGGAAAAGTAAATAAATAAAATCTCACTTCTAAACACAAATACTTTACAATTTGATAAACAATTAAAATTAAAGATAAAAAAAATCAGTTAGTTTGGTTAGCGTAAGTAGTCGTGCACTTTTATTCCTTAAGATAGGCTGGAGTTCAAAACTCCTCTCCTATTGGAATGTATGTCCTTATTCAGGACACCTCGTGGGCATGAACTTACTTAGGACATAAAGCATGCTTAACCACATAGTTTTTGAGTATCTGGTTGTCATATTTTACTTAGAACTAATTGGTGATAAGTAGGTGGATCGGACATTAAACATAGAATCGAGCAGGGGCTGAATCCGGCCAACGCCCTACACTTTTTCTTCAACAATGAAATCAGGTGGGGTACGGTGCTTAACCACCACTCCACCCATCCAGTCAAACGATTCCCTAACTAGCACATGAGAAACCCGATTCCCTAGCTAATAACCGTTTGACAAACGAGAAGAAAACACGAGAAAAATCTCTCATATGTACATGGTAACGTGAATGGGAAGGGAAGCACATTGATATCAGCAGGAACAAGTATGATATAGCATGTAGTGCGTTCGGTTGCAAATATGTATGTGTGAATGATCTCAACATATTCTCATTCTTGCCTTCTTGGTTTATATATTATGAACGAAGCAATTGTGCAGTTGGTTAGTTTCAAATTTTATCAACATTTTTTTTCTTATCCATTTTAAATGAATGAGAGTTAATTAAAGTATAAAATAACCTATTTATAGATGTGGATTTATATATGTCATTGAATTGTAAAAATTTTAATGCATATAAAATAAAGGGAAAATGACACTTTTTCCCCCTAAGTTATATACATATAATACTTTTTCCCCCTGAATTATTCAAGTGGCTGTTTTTCCCCCTGAAATGTTAAATGGACATATTTACCCTTAAAATAAATATTTCATTTATTTTTTTCTCTAACAAATTATGACCACAAGTTGGTTCAAACCAAACAGACACTATAGAAATCAAATCGAAATATTCTAATTACAATTTAGAATCGAAACACGATATTTAGATTTTATTAAAATCGTGAACCGGGACGGCCGGTTCATGGTCCAAACTGAAAAAAATAAAATACATTTATTGTTGAATTTAGACTATTTTAAAATAAAAAATTAAAATTTTAAAAATAAAGACGGTTTAAAATCGCTAACCGGATCTAGAACCGCCGGTTCACGGTTCAGGATCCAGTTTTTTTGATTCATAATTTTAATGAATTGAAATTAAAATATTGGGTTCTGGATCTGAATCATAACCGGAAACTTTTAATTCGATTGCTATAGTGTTTGGTTCAATTCGAATCGAACCGTGGTCATCCCTATGTATACGCAATAATTTATTGAAAAGGAAAAATAAATAAAATGTTTACTTTAAGGGTAGAAATGTCAATAAAATATATTAGGGGGGAAAACCACCACTTTTAAAATAATTGAGGGGGCTAATGTGTTTACATAAATAATTCAGAGGGAAAAAGTGCTATAAGTATATAACTCAGGGGGAAAAAGTGCTATTTTCCCTAAAATAAATTAGTTGCTACTATCACCACTACCTTAATTACCGCCATCATAAATTGGAGTTGTCCATGCTTAAAAATAAAAAAAATAGTATTTAAATTGGAGGTTAATTATATGGGACAAATATATGTTAAGAATATATACTGAAGTTAGTTGCACCAAAACTTATAAGATACTCCATTAACCTTGAATTGGCATGGGTTGGGGGAGGGGGAGGGGGTATGGGAGTCGTCAATGCTTAAAATGAACAATATTATTTCAATCGGATGTTATATTGTTGGGAGATAAAAATAAATAGAAAATAAATAGCATAGGGCTTAAATAGTCTTTTTCTTTTCTCCTATTCTATAACCGCTCATCTTCTTCTTTATATTGTAAAGATGTGTACTGGTTTGTTTTGAAGCGAATATACATCACTTTTCCTTTTCTGCTTCTCGATCCTTCTTCTTCATCTTCTCAGCATCGCTTCTCTATCTCTGCTTCTCATTCCTTCATCTATGTAGTTCACTATTCCAACATGGTATCAGAGCGGCGGGAGCTCATCCACGCTGCTGCATTTTCCGGTGCCGGAGAAGTCGATGAAGCGACGCCGACATCTAAATCGCCAGTTCATTCAAGTACAATTTCGCAAAGGAATCTCTCACCACAAGTTCAGAGGAACTACTTCGAGGAAGTAGACAATCCTTTGATTATGAACAGCAACGATAGCCCCTGTGCAATCCTAGTGAATCCGCAGAGGATTCCGAGTTCGGAGACCTCCATAGCCATTCCTTTGATTATGAACAGCAACGATAGCCCCTGTGCAATCCTAGTGAATCCGCAGAGGATTCCGAGTTCGGAGACCTCCATAGCCATTCCACAGCGGAAGGAAGGAGCTCGTCCATCGATTTTGATTGCTCAATCTCCAGTTCAGGCGACCTCCACAGCCGTTCCGCAGCGGAAGGAAGGAGTTCGTCCGTCGATTCCGATCAATCCGCAGAGGATTCCGATCAATCCGCGAAGGATTCCGAGTTCGGAGCTGCAGACGTCCGTAGCCGATCCACAGCGGAAGGAAGGACTTCTCAGATTCGTTAGGAGAGCTGTTTGTATCGCCTCTTCCTGGCAGAGCGAGAAAACAACGAGCAAATCACTATCAGCCATGGCGATTAGAGCTTTTATTCTCGCGCTGTCCCTCTCTCTCTCCAAAACTGAATCCGTTCGTTTCTTCACAACTTCCTTCTGTCACAGAACCGCGGAGATCGATAAGATCACAGTAGAAGCTAAGGAATCTGCGATGATGGTGGAAGTAGTGGAGGACAGAGAATGGTTGGGAGACGACAAACGCGATTGCGGAGGTGAAGCGGAGGACAAGAGGCTATCGGCGACGGAGTATGTTTTCCGGAACACGGATGTTCCGTCGTGGAAGGAGCAGCTGACGCTGCGATCCATGGTGACTAGCCTCGCGCTGGTTGTGAGGTGTGGAAGTTTAGGCTCTGTTTTGCGTTCTAAATCTCGGATAGGATTGAAGATGGGTCGAAGTAGATCCAGTCGGGTCAAAATGATCTCTATAATCTATATCTCCTTCTTCCTTGTTTCATCTGCGCACTCTATCTACCTCCCTGATGTTGCTCCTCGAGATTTTCCAGCAGAAAATTTGGGAGAGGTTCTTCGAGGTGGAAGAGAAGGAGTTCTTGTGCGTTGGCAGCTCGATACAGATAACAGATTTCAACTGCTTGAAATGTCATCCATAAAAATGCTAAGGTCCATATCAGGGATCAAGCTGCACAGTTCAGTCCCAGAGAGATATAATGGGCAATGTAGTGATGTTGTATTTGATTCTACTGCTGGGCTAGTTTCCATATGCATAGAAAATTACTGTGTCCAATTCTTTAGTATGTTGGATGACCGAGAAATTTCATTGGTTCAAGTCTGTGAAAGAAATCATCAACCCGATGATGAAGTCACGGTCATAGTGAGTATGGTGGCTCTCTCTCCAGATGGATGTACCATGAGTACTGTAGAGACTAGGCTTCCTGAAGAAGGAATTGGAGGCCTTGTATGTCTAAAGTTCTGGAAAAGTGGTTCTCAAAATAAAGACTTCAGCTTACCTACTATTGTATATGAACCACACAGGGATGCTGGAGTCTCTGCAATAAGTTTTCATCCTACTCGTAACATGGCTGTCAACTCTTCATATGCTGCTGAATTCAAAATCTGGGCTAGCAATAGTGATGTTCAACATGGGGATCATATGAATAATGCTGGATGGACATGCCGTGCTGTTGCTTCATACAAAAAGAAGCCGATGACAGCTGCTGCATTTTCTTCTGATGATTCTGTTCTGACTGTTGCTGCAGAAAGAGTTATTACTTTGTGGGATCCAAACAGGAATGTGTTGGTTGCTACAATTGGAGAGATTTTTGAGCCAATTTCATCCCTTTCATTTATT